TATGATTTTCCTGTTGATTCTTCGTTTTCCAATTGTTATTTTGTTAACAAGCACTCTCTTCAGTTGATACTGAATAATCACTTAACTATAGGTACTAATTATTAATTAAAAGTTAGTCAATCATCTCTTCAATGGTTAGTCCTGTGAGATTTAGCACTAGGGTTATTTAAGTTGACATTTTCTTGAAGATTTGTCTTCTTCTTTTTAGTATCTTCTTTTTTTCCGTTTACTAGTCCCCCTACTGGTAATCTCTAATTTCCTCTAGTTATCCCAAGTTTTCTTAAACTAATTGTTGTTGGGTGATCTCTATAATTGAAGCACGATGTCTATGTCGTAACACTTAAAGAAACCAAACTTCCATCTCAGTTGATCAGAAAATTTTATTGCATTGGATGTAGATGGCAAACAATTATATTAAATCTCTGACATCACACTAAAATCGTCTAGAATATAAGGTGTTAATGGCAAATAAACCTGTTTTTCTTGTGCTGTACCACCAAACCCTAACTTCGACCATTAACATACATAATGCAGGGCTTATTGAGGGGGTAATTTTGATATTTTATCTGAATAAAAATTAAAGGCTATTTTTCAGCTAATCGGGTAGTTGGGGTGGAACTACTTTCTTCATCATCTAATTCTGAACTGAAAATATCGAGATATTTTATAAAAAATACCTGAACAGAATGAAATATGTGAGTAAATATTGTTTATAACGACTGAATTTTGTGTTTAACGACTTTTCAGTTTATTGTTGTCTTATACCTACCTAAGTTTCTCTTTTGTTCATTGAAATTATTAGAATTGTGATCGTCTTTGATGAGTGACATAGACAAGTATACTAGGTACGACGACCGGTTTTTTCCATAGATGGATATTATAATATAATATGATGTCGTCATCAGTTTTCGTGTTTTAACTTCTTTGGATGACACGATACATTTTTTACTCCAGATTGTGAAACAGAATATTATTCGGACTATTTAAATCTATAAAATTCATAATACCGAACTTTACGTCTTTACGCATAGGCTATTTTTAGCTACCCCACTGAGTACATTATTATTTCCGACATCTCACAATATTGTTTTTAGTTTTAATGGCAAAACTATAACTTAAGAGGACGCCACACCCGCATGTGTTGTCGCAGTCTTACAAACGAGTAACATACCAAATTTACGCTCAGCAGTTCAAGTTTTATGCCGTTAGCTTAAAAATTAGAGTGAATCGACCTATTATGAAACTTTATGTTAAGAACTTTATCTATGTTTTGTTGGAAGTTTTTTTACAATAATTCAGTTTTTAAGTGAGGTTTGAGCATTTTTAATTTACATTTATTATACAAGCATACCTTGCTTAAAAACTGAATTGTCGTAAAAAAACTTCCAACCAAACACAGATTAAGTTCTTATCATCAAGTTTCATAATTGGTCGATTTACTCTAATTTTTAAGCTAACGGCATAAAGCGTGAACTGCTGAGCGTAAATTTGGAATGTTAAGCGTTTGTAAAACGGAGACAACACATGCGGGTGTGGCGTCCTCTTAATATAAAACTCTAGAAGTGTCGAGACTTGACAGAAATTTAAAACTAAGCTTTAAAATGTACAACACTAAAAAAAAACCTTGCAAGATTTTTCTAAAATATCTTTTAAATGAGTGGTTTTTAAACCATCAAATACACAAAGTTGAATTGTATAAGCTGAACACACCTCATACAAAAAGTCATTCGAAGTCCTGTAGATTTCAATGAATTTACTAAATGTTCTTGGAAGTTATCATTTAATATTTCGCTTTCAATTGAGTGGTGGTTGTTAGCCAAAATATCAGTTTCACCATCTTCATTGGTGCTGTTTTCATCAATTTCAGCTTAATTTATAAATGATAAATTTTTTTAATAAAATGTGTATATTACATCATAGTTATATGTATGTATTATTCAACTATTACTTTGACATATTAAAATTTAAAATTGAGTTATTAATGCATTATTTTCATTATCTTCAGCAAGCAAACGCATTATTTTCACCATATTAGCACCATTGTCGACCGTACATCAATAAACTTGATCAGGTCTTATTTCATAACGGTTCAGTACTTTTAAGACCTAAACAAGTACAAGTACATTTGCATAACTAAAAGATGATCATAGTCCATAGATCACCTAATGAAAACATGAAATAGGTACCTACGTAGAATTATTTAATTTAAAATATAGGTCATTTAAATTAGTAAAGCAGGTAATTATTAGTACCTGTTAGTAGGTAAGTATTTATTAAAAAAAAAACCAGGAATTATCTAAAAATCTCTAAATTATTTACATATTTATTAATTTATTATGTAATTTATATATTGACAAAATGACATAACCATATCATAATTCAATCTTATGAAAATTAAATTGGTTTACTATACTTATAACTAATTTGTTTTTATTTGGTACTGTATATTAATCCCAATAATTGCAGTATTCAATCTACTGAAACAATCCGTTTCTAATCATAATGGGTGGTTATTTATATCTTTTTTTATAGTGTTCATAATTTGTTTGCCTTTATCGGCTTTATCCATAATATGTACCCTTATATTTTGTGGATAAATAGTAAAATCTGTAAAATAAATGTATATAAAATATAAATACATTTTAGAATAAAAAATAAAAAAAGTGATTCTAATGTTAAATACTCTATTAATAGGTAAGAACTTGTACAATTGACTACAGTCAATATAAATACCAAGTATCTTATAAGCTTTATAAGTTAAAAATATATACACAAATGTGTACTTGAGAGTTGAGAACCAAAACAATCATATTAATAGTATTCGTATGGTAGTTAGGCAATCATACATTGAATATACTATATTACTATTCATGTAATTATGTAAATCACAAATATGATTACTTATTTAAAATGTAAGAGTAAGATAATTATAAAATAATCAATTTAAAAAATGGACTTTCCTAAATTTATTAGGTTGGTGATGATTACTTACTGACTACTGTTTCCAATTGCTTGTGTTATGGGTTTCAAAATTGTTTGCATGCCAGAATCTTTGAATATAACCATATTTAATGGCCTACCATTAATTGTTACTAGTTCGACGTATGCTTTGAATAGTGCCTCTTTGTCCATTCTCATATAAATTGATTTTCTTGCTACACTGAAGACTTTATCAAATGGTCATGATGATAATAAAATTGTCTTAATAATTAATATGTATAAAATATTTCTAAATATTTCAACAATTAAATTTTATTAAAATAGAATAAACAATATTTAATCTTGCCATATTACATACATTTTCACACTTAAACCCGGCAACGATGGGTAATTCGGCTAGTATACTTATATAGCGTATATATTATACAATAATACATTTAATAGATAATAAACCATGAAGTCTAAACTAATAATTAATTACCCCTACCCCCATGGCCTGAAGGCTGAAAGTAGAGATCGGAGATTAGGCTCTGGGTAAATATTAAATGTAATAAATTACAATATTATATTTTAAGACATTTAGTTAATCTTATTTCACATTTTCACTTTCTTTATAATAATTAATAATTTGTTTGTGCAGCAAGCATCTTTATTATTTATAGTCCATTTCTAATTCTAGTTTCTAGTGTTACTAGTTACTACTCAATTTATGTTGATTTTGGGGATTTCGGTTTCGTGTTAGAAACTGGATAAAAAATTTTGTGGGTAGCGGGTTTTGTGTTAAAACCCGGGCAAAATTTTTGCGGGTTACTTGATATTTCAACCCATTTTGATGCCCAGAATTGTAATGTATCTATCACATAATACCTCTTTTTTTTCCTTGTTATCTAGAACCGAGGGAGGAACTGCTGTTGGCATTGCTTCACCCCCGGTCCCCATCCTTTATTGTGTAGGTACATATACAAATACATAAGATACCAATGAGGCAATGACACACTATGTTGCGCCCCTCTCCTCTACCAAATGGACTTTTCCTATCGCAGGTATATGTCCACCTGGAAGCGGAACTCGCGGTGCTTACATTCAAGTAAAACAAACAGAAAAAAGAAAGAAAGAACAGAATTCGCTTCGGGCGTTGCTAGCCCTTACTGATGATTTTGTGGGCCGACCTTAGTCCGCCACCCTAGAGTCACATACTGTGGTCCTGCGATGCGGTGATCGCCACCCGCCCATGGTGTCAATGCCTGTGTCATGTGGTATGTCAAAGGTAACATTGGCACGGTTCTCCCAAGCCACCTGCCCACGTCTGGTATTGCCAGTCTTGTCCACGCCGCTTTAGTTGAGGTGGACCATCTCGTTTGCCACATAGTGATGGTGACTTTCAGCTCTTTGGTTTTTACGGCGTTTTTGGAGGGAAGTGGTACACCAGGAATGTTAGGTGCTCCCAGTGGGGCTTTGATTTTCAGTCTCTCTAGACCGACAAGATCAGTTGGGGGCATGAAGGCCAGCAGCAGAGCGGCTTCGTCTGAGACCGTTCGATATGCCCGTATCACCTTAAGGGCTAAGGGCAACTGACCTCTGTGGACGAAAGAGATTTGCCCTGGTTCTAGCCGATCGGATTCATACCAGTGTGGCATACAGCAGCTGGCTCTCCACTACTGAGCCGAGGAGCCGCCTTTTCCACTGACCCGGCCTGTCAATGTTCGGCATGAGCCCGGCCAGTGCGGCAGCCGATCAGGAGGCTTTTTAGCGCCATGTCAATATGGCCGGCGAAGGTGAGCCGCTGGTCCAGTACCACGCCGAGGTACCTCAGTTTTTTTGAAATCGTGATCTGGTGCCCTCCGACCAACAGATGAGGCGGGGTGTATGCCCACCTCCTGGACAATATCACATAATATATCTAAACATCCAGGAGTTCCAATTTTGTTGTTAGCTTAATAATGAGTGACTTCAAACTTAAATGTAGGACAGACATCACATGTGGGTACATTGTTTTCTAAAGTGGGTTATTTGTTACAATAGCTTTTACATTTTGATAAAAAAAAATATATTTTAAAGTAAAAATAACAATATTTTATTGATTATTAAAGTCACAGAAATCAGATAATATAATAATCAAGTTATAACATCATAAACAATTAATTCAAAATTCTTATTCTAATCTAATAATTGTATAATATTGTCAAATTAAAATAAATCACAGCAGAATTGATAAAATAAATATTCCTTAAAAATAATTTAACTGGTTAACTTACAATTAATATTTGTATAAATACTTTAACACACCACAGTTATCAGCTTCATTTATTTGATAATATTGTATTAATTATTTGGAAGAAACAGCTATTTTCTGATTGGTTTTAACGTATAATTTCTCTTTAGAAAATAGTTTAACACCTAGTTGTACTTGATCCAATTCTTTTTCAATTTGTTTACGTTTCTCTTTCATCTTATATGAATCTGAACCGACGGGCAACATATTCAATTGCAATATCAATAGGTCATAATCTATATCAATAAGATGTACAGTAAATTATTATGTTAAGATTTGATCATCTAAAATGATTAACTGTTACCTTTTTTTATTTTAGCTAGATGTTCCAGACGCTCAGTTTTTGGTAATAATACATGACCTGGAGGACATGCTGGATCATCAAGACCCAATTCACGCCTAATTGTCAATTTCTTTTGTATTTCTTTCTCATTTTTTTCTTTAAGTGCTTTACGATCTTTCAGATATCTATAAGGAATAAAAATGTGTTACAGAAATTATTAAAAATATTTTGGGATTAATTGTACTTTGGTATTTCCCCAGGTTGATGATGACCAATTATGTTTTCTTTAAATCCACCTAAATGTTGTTGTTTCCTTTTGGTTTTATTGTCATCTTGTTGATGTACAGAACTAACATTTTTTCTAGACATCAAATTAGAATACTCCGTTTCAGAACTTTCAGTTTGCACAGAAATAGTGTTCATGTGTTTTGTTGGAAAGGGTTTAGGCATAAAAGTCTCTGATATAGGACATCTGATGATATTAACTCTTAATTTATCTTCATCATCATATGGATTTACTGTTTGTGTAGCTATAATAAAACATTTTCGTTACAACATTAATATCTTTGTGAATTTGTTGAGTAATAATAATTGGCGTGTTAATAATAATACTTAAAATAGTTAACTATGATTACATCGCATTTATGTAAAATAAAAGTTTAAAAATATATAGATTAAGCCTAATAAGTAAAAATATTGATTTAATATTTTATACTCTGCAGTAAAAAATGAATCGAAATATGCAGTTTTTGTTAATCCAGTTGTTTATTGTATAATAAGTTATCACATTTAACAACTAATGATATAGTTGTGTGGCTTGGTGCAAGACCGATGTCACATTTGGACGAATTTGAGATTAATTAACCAATGTCATTAAAACTTGATACCAAATTAGATTTGACATTGGCCATTTCATAAACAATTAGGAGCTTATAAATAATATAAGTTATTAACATCGAGACTTATAACAATTGAATATTATTATAAGGTATAAATAAAATGTTAAGTTGTTTAGTTATTAAAAATAGTTTATTTAAAGTTTTAGTTTATGGCCAATGTCTAAATAAAACTTACACATTTACAGTAAAAAACAAGGCGAGTGCCACAATAGAATAAACACAAATTTAATTAAGTAACAATATTTTTATTTTAAAATTGTGTTTCAGTTTTAAGAATTGGCCAATTTGTTTTTTTTTTATTTATTTATGAACATTATCAAAACATAATATTAGCAATTCTTGGGCCAAGCCACAGGATTAAATGTTGTAACTTAAATACCTTGATCTTTAAAAGATAATTTTTCGACATTTTTGATTCCTAATTTTTTTTGAGTAATCTTAGTTTGAGCTATTGCAGAACGAATTGATTTGATACTAGCATCAATTTGATCCAAGTCTATAGATTTGATTTTTCTTTTTGAGTTTTCTTGGATGGTTTCTTTATTTGGCCCTTGTCTCAATTTAAAATTCTGCAAATATTTGTAGATATAAAATTAATAATAATATATTCATAATACACATTGAAGCAAAAATTATACCTTAAATATTTTAAATTAACTCAAATAGAATGGATTAAATTAAGTGGCACATAGAAAAATGTCAAACTTAAAACATAGATATTCACCATATTACCATATATAACATTGATTCTCATTCTTATATACTAAGCAAAAAGTAGTTACAAAAATTCTCAAGGTGCAATTAATTAATTATACCCTGTAATTTATAGACGGAATATTTATAACAAATATATAAAAATATTTTTCTTTTTAAACTAGTTAAATTAAGTTGACCATACTTATAGATTTCTTAGTATTTTCTTTCCATCCCAAACTAATAAGCATATTTATTTCAGTTCCTTTAAAATGTATTAGTGTCAAACCAATATTCGGGATAAAATGTATCTATGATATGCTGACATTTTTTTTTTTGTATAGTATGTATTCAGTGACAGACGATGGCATCGGGATAATGTGTCTTTTAACATATAGCTAGAGGCAGTAACTTGTGTAAAATATAAGTAAGTTAATTTAATGGTTGGTAGAGGGCAATATATTCTATAAAACTTCAAAATAAGCATGCATTTATGACCTGAAAAACCATTAAATAATATTATATCCAGGATGAAACAAATTTGAGGGCTCGTAAAGTAGTTTTTAATAGAATGATTTTTTTGGTATTATGCATATCATATCTATTGTTATTTGTTATTATTATTAATATTCAACTATAAATCATATTTAACTATCGCTGAATACAGGTTGTCATGGTTTATAACATTATTGATATGTCATCATCAAGATTCAAGACATTAAAAGTGTGTTTTGTAAAATATAAAAAGACTGATTTTATTGTTGCCATGATACACAAATAAACAAAAAAAGATACACATTGAAGAGTGCATTATTACAACTTATTTGAAGTCGAATGATAGAACAACAATGTCTTCAATTAATGATATAAACAGGTAAATTATTAAACATTTATGTATTTAAAAATAAATTATTAATTGAGATAATATGAAACATCATTAATATTAAAAAAAATTAAATTATTTTAACTGCACAATATGAAATAATTAACTAAAACAATTTTAATTTTAATTTATTGAAAATTAAAGAAAAATAAATAGGTTTATTAAAATATATAGCAAAATGCATATATTAATTCAGAAATAAACAATATTTGTACAAATTGATGGCCAAATTTTTATAGTTTCTTTTTTTTTTGAAGAATTACTTGATACCTGCGTAAAAAAATGTGGGTTAGGTATCATCATATTTAAAATATATTATTGATTAGGATATAATTGGAAGAGTTACACATAAATATGTTTTAAAATATGGCCTCATTCTGTGCCTAATACCTATATATTACCTATAGAAATTATAGAATTGAAATATGCACAAAATAATGAACTATATTGCATATTAATAATTTTTTAACCGAATTTTAAATTGTTACTCTTTTGCACTCTTTATTAAAAACCTACCATAAGTCCGAGCCTTGTAAAAATTATTTTATATGCAATCTCAATTATTCCCCATGGTAGTTTTTTCATTCTTTGTGAGCAAGGTTTCATATTTATAAATCAAAATCTACCTTGTCGCAATTAAGTATTAAATTCATCACCATTAATTTAATATGTTTTTTACACCTACTAATAAATTGATAGTGTACCTGAATATTGGTGCATGGTAATTTGTTTGACGGTTTTACATTTTCTTTTAATGATTGAGTGTATTTTGCTAATTTAGTCACATATCTCTTATTCTCTTGAATAAAATTCTTCTTGGGTTTGGCTCCACCGGCTCCTATTTTAAATAACATGAAATAAATCAACTTTAATCACTAATGGTATTGAAGTATTATAATGCTAAACTTTATTAAAATACTGAAATTTACTATATTCGATAGGGAAAAAATCTCTGATTGAAGACATTGCAGGCGATGATTTTTCTTCTTGTTTAAATTCAATGATTAAAGATCTATCATACAATAACAATGAAGTCTTAAATATATTGTAAACTCCGAAAAGTTATAATCTACATTCTACCTATAAAATCTATATATATAAATTATTATTTATTATTAATAGGTATTAAATAATAAATCAATAACTTCACGTCTTCACTATTGAATATTGATCCGTTAAAAATTGAAATTGCTTCAAACGATTTTAATGTATACAAAATTTAATGTAAAAGATATGACCTAAATGCGTTATCACCAAAAATCCCAAAGAAGTTACGTTAATATTTTACTATGTTCAGATTGAAAATTGTAAGATACGTCATCTGTTGTTAGGCGGGTTTTTAAATTTAAAATTTATTAATGATGAAATATCGCATTTCGAAAACAAAATTGAGGAAATGCAACTACCTGAACTACCAACGGTATTTAGTGTTCACTAATGTCTAATTATTAGTATAGCTATAATTTAATATTTATAACGGTTGTATAGCGTATACCTGCACAATTTAACAGACGTTTGTGTAAAAATACAACCTATAGGCTTTATAACCAGGGTTCGTGAGTCCATACCCTAAAAAATAATACATGTATACACTACACTTGTCAACTTGTGCACAAAAAACTGGCAAAATATGCCTCAAAAAGTTCAAAAATCGTTAAACTGAACGAATGTTCTCGCACACACGTCGCAATAACAACTGAAATAGTCGAGAATAAACCACTGTAAAAGTATCAAGAAGATAAGACTATTTCATATGACATGTTTTCCACTAATTTATTAACGCGGGCTACAGGCTATAAACGTTTTATTTTTAATAATTTTACATTGCAAAAATTCCTTTATATTTTATACAGTGCAAAAGTATAAATTATTGCATTTTCATCAAATTAATGTAAAAATACTTTAAGTATGATCAAGATAAAATAGAAAAACGTATAAATATTCCAAAATCAAAATAGACAAAAAACTTATAAATATGCAAAATAAAACTTCAAATACTCAAACACGCTACCTTTAAATGAATTTCTATGTCACCTACCATTAAATACGACTTAGCACGATTGATACGCAAATTCATGAACTTACGAGCCCTGGCTTTAACCTGCTAGAACCTGTGAGTACCATTAAATTACATCCTTGAACGCTGAAGCTAAAAATATTTATTACACTCTTCACAACTATTTATTTGGTTGATTATGTATTGCGCTAGCAGAACTTTTATTGAAACTAAAATATGTGGCTTAGATGTTTCATGTACTATTGTTTTGTAAAATTACAATATCCAATTTTTTAATGATCTTCTCAACCTCAATAGTCAAGCTCGAGCACCGTCTAGTTCTAAAAATAAAATTGTTTTTTGTGTGGTTCCTTCGGCGGGTTACAACGAATTCACAGATAAGAAGATAATACATATTTTGAAATTGAGCTATATAACTCAAAGTTAAACTATACAAATGTACACAGATTATTGCAGGGTAACCCAGTAAACTGTGGTTTTTTTTCTTCGGCGCAACATTGCAATTTACAGAATAATAAAATATAATATACATATTTTGTTCATTTGGATTGTAGACGTTTGAATAAGTTTGATAACAACTTGCTGACCGCTGAATGCTGACGTTTAGCGGTCTAACATTTTAATTGTCTATACTTACAGACTACAGACTTCATTCACACTTCTCAGTCTTGAATCGTATGGTATGCACTATGGCACTATGCGTCTATGCTTGGCTTTAGCCCTTTAGGCTTACAATTTTAAATTATTTAGTCAAGTTCATTCACGCCAAAGAGAATCGCGCCATCATCATCTGTTTGCCGCCTATGGACTTATCCAGTCTATTTAAATTGAAACGCAAAATTACGAAACATTATTAAAAAAATATATATTATTGAATATTACACTGAAATTATATTATTAAACATTACTCGCGTGACTGTGATGCGTGATTGAATGCGGTATTTATTATTATATTAGCGATAGTGTGATAGTTTGTTTTGTCTATGTTTTAGGTAATATGTACGATGTACCGTATTAACGTAAAGGCGTAATGCAGTCGATGGTTACAACTAAATTACTCTATAATTTTCACCCTCAGCACTCAATGACCTAACACAGTGACACATGACTGGACCCACCCACCTACCCACTAATACGCTAATTACATATAGCTGTACGGCTGTACCATAATATATACCTATCTATTGTCTTATATGGTGTAACTTATGAGGTGACAGGCTTTTACACCATTATCTTTACTAAAATCTGTTGTTTATATTTTATAATATAGATTTAACTTCAATGACGATGACTACAATTTTATTTACGGTGTTGTGGACGAGTTATGGGCAAATGTATTAAAAGTTGTGTCTCAAAGAACATTAGATGAAAAAGAAATACAATTTATAAGCCGTTGCAACATTAATGCCATATTCCGATTATTTAAAGTAAAATTAGTTATTGATTCATAAGTGTTATGATAAATAATAAATAATATATTTATATACACGGATTCTTCCAAATTATGTGTGATAAAAATGGGGTAGATCGCGTAAGAGGTAAGAACCAATATATAATCTCCCCCATTTTTGTCACGTGACGTGAAATTTGGAAGACTATGGGTATAATATAATTAATTTTTTTAACACGACCTATTTTTTGAACAATTTTAGCTCCCGTATCCTCGTGTCGATGACGGAGATGTGTGTGCACAGTCACATGTATTTTCAGATCCCCCATCTCAAAGTGGAAAAGTTGTCTTTACTTCCACAGTAATTAAAGAAGTTAAAAAAATGCCTAAATTAAAAATAAATAAACGCAACACGTAGAATAATATAATGAGCACTATATTAATATAAATATTAATAAATTATATTATTTATTTACTTAATTAATTATTAGTAGTTATTTTTTCGACGCCCAAAAGTTAGATTAAAATTTAAAGATAATAGAAAAGTTATATACTTCTGTATTTGAGATATATTTGTTGATTAGTAATTAATATTAATATTCGTCTGATAAATCGATTTTCAAGTAAAATGTATTGTTGGCTGTTGAATATACCTAACCTGATGTACCTACTTTAATACTTACTTCCTACTGCCATATTTCTGAAATTGCTTATATTAAATGTATGTATTTACGTAGGTAACCTAAATGCTAAATAATTTAATAAAAAAGAAAATGAAACATAAAGGGAAGGTAGTTTAGTATTTTAGGAGTAGACCTATGAAATACAAGCTCAAGTCTTATTGATGAGGATTGTAAATCTCATGGTTTTTCGGTTTGTATAATACAAACGCGATATACCATATCGTACATAATATACTTTAAACTAGGTCCAAGTGTTCACATGTAATTATAATTATTACAAATATACAATATACACACCAGGGGACGTACACAGGCTTTTTCAAATGCAGGGGGGGGGGCTAGAATGCTAGATGATTGGAAAAAAATGTTCGAAGGGCAAAAAAAACTTAAATATTAGTTATAATTGGTGTATTTATTTTTGTAACAATCAGTAGGTATAATGGTACGTAGTACTCAATCGATTTTGGTTTTGATTGATCTTAGTGAGCCAACGAAATAAGGAATTTATAGAAATATATTAAATTCACAAAATTCTGATATTTTAACCATACCGAAAACCATTCAAATACCTTATTATATTTTTTTAAACTGTTTAATATGGCGCAGGACACTAATAGTATGTTTGTTTTATTGATCATAGTGAATTCAAAATCCACTTTTAAGAAACGGACCTGGGAACTAAAAAATAAAAATAAAAGTTACATTAAATTTAATATATTGAAATAGTTAGTAATTATATTTTTGTATACATGTTTATTGTCTTATTCAAAAATATAATAGCAAATATAATAACTAGGTTAACCAAATATTTAATTAACTTTTTCTTGCACACTCAGAATCACTTAACTACAGGTAGCAGGTTAAAAAGAATCCTTTAGGCTTTAACTTGCCCGAGAATCCGCAGGGCTCGTGTGGACTATATGCGTGAATTTCAGTTGAACAAATAAACTACATATTTATATAATAATTAATAATTATTATATGATATAAGAATAAGAAAATGTGATAATATTGACAGCGCACGAATCACGTGTTGAAGTATCGTTCAAATGTTGTCTGAGTTTTGTGAGAGACTGACTTTGTCGCAAAACATGATAATAATAATGTGTTCCGAACAACTGGTCAATAAATTTAAAACATAGGAATAAAATATTTCCTTCATTTTTAAAATAATACAAGTACAAAAAAAAGGAAGAATTTTCAAATTGAATATTTGAGATGATTGTAACATCATGTTGACATGAGTTTCAGTGGCATTACCTGCTAGAGCCAAAAATAAATAATAATTAGCAAATGCTGCAACTCTCCAGCACTGATTATAAGTTACAACACTTATAAGTTATAACTAAAGAGTAAAGACCGACTTTAATGACATTGCACCTTTGTTTGCACACAAGATGAATCAAATCTGATCAAATATTGTGTTGTATAAAGTATACAGAGTCCTGAGTTACCTATGTACTTTCAGCATATTTCATTTCAGAACGTAGTTTTTCTTTGTACAAACATATCATAAATAATGTAAGACATAGGTAACTGTAATAAAACTAATAATAGAACTGTAATATAACTTAATTATTTGGAAATCTATTTGAATATCAATTTTTATACAAAAAGATAACGTTGATAATTTCTTTTGTACAAAGTAATTTTAATACATTTGAGAAATTTATCTTTTTTGTACAACTTTTGAAGTTTTATAGGTACTGAAATTTATTTTTTTTGTTCAAGGATTTTTTTGGTACAATATTATAGATTTTAGAGATTTACAATAGGTATACATAGTTACTATTTTCACGAGCTACATAAATTAATTTTACCCTAGGGTGTTGAATGTTGATGTGTTTGATTTTAATATAATACTATGTGTATTTCAATTCAAAACCAACTAGATAAGTAGCATAACAAAGCAAATTTATTTATGTAAATCAATTTCATGAACAAAAATTGTTTTATAATAATTTCGGTAATAATGAATTACTTCATTCAGCAACTAAGGGGTTGCGGTCATTCTCTAAACGGGTCACTGACCAACTCCTGCTCATTGACGTCTCTGCATTCTGTTTCCCGTCCCGGCTGGTCCACCAGTCCAAAAGTTATATGTATATTTGGAACTGAGGACCATCGACTCTGCGCCTTGCGCGATGTTGCTGGTAGTTCGGGCGCCGACTGCATGCACTGCGCCACTGCCACTCTGGCTTAAAAGGGGAATATCGAATATGTAAGAATAATTCACGGTGGCCCAGCGTTACGCGTCCGGCAGTCCGGCGCGTGGGTCGCGGGTTCAAATCCCGTACCGTGCGATGTTTTTCATAAATTTCTCGATATCCCTCCCAAGACCGGCCACATCTCCTGTGGTCCGCGTCGATTGGCTTCCCGGCGGGGAGCCCGAACCCCAGTCACCTGGGGGGGTTATTCTTCATACTTCTATGGATACGTTGAGTTACCAATACGAATCATCCTTCGACTGTTACCTTGGGATTGTTATTACGTTGATAACAGTCTTTACAGCGATTGTATCCTTGAATTGGGGGAGTAAGACCACGGCCCCCAGCGCGGCCATTACTCTCTCTCAACAGTCTTCTTAATACTTGCCACTTTCTTCTAAAGAGGGAATATCGAAATTTAATGAACAATCCCGCGGTGGCCCAATGTGTGGGTCGCGGGTTCAAATCCCGCACCGTGAATTTTTTTTCATTAATTTCTCGATAACTCTCCCAAGACCGGTCACATCACCTGTGGTCGCGTCAATAGCTTAGCTAGTGGGTAGTGATCAATTCGTGAAAATAATTTTCGAGTTACAAAAATAATTTATACTAGTCAAATCTATCGAAACGATGTTTTGTTGATTTTGTATCGGCAAGAAAAATATAAGAAACTATTAAATCCTTTTATATATAAAAGAACAGGTATTTTTGATGTACCAATTTTATGATAACGCTATTTAACTTTTTTCCAATTTTTTTCACAGAATTGTTCCAAATACCTTCCTTAGGGGTTCCTACCCGATTTTCAAAATTTTAAAAGGTATTTCATTTTTGAATGTTTTATCACCACAATATAAGATAGGTATTTACTGCTATCACTAATCGAAAAATTAATTATTATTATTGTTGTTTATTTTTGTTATTTAAACATCGATTATGTTTATTTATATTTACATTTCATACATAAATTAGTTTCAGCACAATAGAAGTTTAGAACATACAACAAAATCGGGTATCGACGAGTTTTTACAGAGGCCCCTAGGCCCAAATGAAGTTTACAAATATTACAAATGCGCATTAAGGGTCGCCAGAACGGCGCCAGCCAGTATTAGAAAAATATACTTTTATAGTATTGTTATATTTTTTAAAAATTTTGGGACGGGGGCCTCTGAGTGTAATATTGATGGCCGATGGGGGCCTACCGGGAAAATCCCGATTTCCCGATGGGCCTATCCTCCCATGTTAGTTATAGTACTAAAGTAAAAATATAATAGTATAAAAATTAAAAAATTAAAAATAAATATAAATGTTTACTTCCTAAATAATTATATATTTCTTCTTTTTTTTTACAAATTTTGGTGTCCAGGATTTCTAAAAATTAAATTTTTTAGCATTATATTTACATATATTATAATATGTAAGAAACATACCTTAACAGTTTTTCCAATATAATATATATATAATTTATTTACTTTTTAAAACTTGTTCTCCTTCCACAACATTTCGTAAGTTTATATAACAATATTGTCAAACGTAAATATTTCTCGTATAGTAAACGCCATTTTAATTTTAAAAAACTAAGAAATTGTTATAATATTATAGGTACCTATGTATTTATTACTCCAAATACCTAAAAACAAAAATCAAAAATAGATTTTCCACTGAGAAGTGAGAATGATTCAAAATATTAATAGAATCGTATATTCGTATGCCGTTATAGACTATCAATAATGTTTATCCTACTACGGACCGGTGGGGTAACCACCACCAATGACGACAGTAAGCGCTCCCCCTGTTAAGTGTTAATTTGTTATCTGAATCATAGTCATTCGTCAATCGTCATTCCTTATTTATTTTCTGTCAATTATTTGATTGACATAAACTAAAACCATTTTATAGTTTAATATATATTCAGATATTTATAATATAATATAATATATAAAATAAGTACATGCTTGAACATTTATATAAATATAATATATGGGAAGACAGCAAACTGGAGTGTGTATGTATAGTACACATAAATAATATGATCACAAATCCACACTAGAAATTGTGCCATAATAGTATATTATGTTAGATACATTAAATATATCATTTTAAGGAATCCTACAAAAAGATGCTGTGCCGACTACATGATACCTACTGAGGACAACTATTTTATGCTGTGGAGGACAATACGAAGCCGCAGCTGGCCTAAGGTTATGTTGCTGTGACTGACTTTAAAATCATCATTTGGCGAAATAATTTCGGAGTATAACGGTCGCCCTTTACAATGTATGCAGGAAACAACATAGTGTTAGGATAAATAAATTGGGAAGGGGACAATGGGCGCCTGCAGGGGAATGCATTTTAGGAATCAAAAAACAAAAAATGTACTTTAGGAACATACTATGAAGACTGCAGACTATAATCTCCAAATTCATTGTCTAGACATCTTCCCAGAATTTTTACAAAACATATGAAGCTTAAAAAATTAATAAAAAATGTTGCTTTATAGAAAACGTTTCATTTGAATATGTAGCCTTCAAACGTGTCTTACAAAATATGAAACATATCAAATTTTAATCATGCAGTTATCATTAAGATTTGCTGGTTCCAAAGATCACTCAAATATTAAAACTTTTATTGCTAATTGAGATCTGCATACATAGATGATCACTTTTAACACAGGGCCGACACATGCTGATAAATTATTAATACTACATCCAATCATACTTTCAAGTCTAGGTTACTGCAGTTAACGTGTTATCTTTATCATATACAATGAATAGATCTATGTCTGGTAACTTGAAGCACATATAAGCGGCGAAAAGTCTGTATCGCCTTTCGCATATATAATATGCATACTTCAAGTTATAAAAATTAAAAAAAAAAGTTCAACTTGATAAGCAGACACTAAAATAGAAAATCAAATAAGGATCTTTTTAATCTAAGGGTCCCAGTTAACCCTCTGTTAGTCATGCGCCAAACGGGGAAGATTAAACCCAGCAACCCCAACACAACTATGCTGTTACAACAGAGGGTTAAATAAGTCATGAGATGGTTAGTAAACCTATGTGCTATGAATAGTTGAAGCTATGGAGATGATAGTAGACTAGTGGTAGTAGACTATCGTCCCTGGTCGTGGGCATTGCAATGATATTTTCCTACTAGCTACCTTACTATGAAAACATGTATTTTTTAACAATATATTTATATACATGATACATTTGTACATTATAGTGTTTAATAATATTCCGTTGAATAGAAAAAAGTATATTTGTTTAAAATAGTTTTTTAATATACCTAGATCTTAATTCAAAATACTTACAATTACAAAGAAATTGTTGGTGTTAAATAGAAACAAATATAGTCCCTTAATTCAATATTTTACGTTTTATAGAAGACAAAATATTATATTTAGTTAAGACAAAACCTTAAAAAACTTTGATAGTACAATAATATATGTCGTAATATCTAACAAATGAAAATAATATAAAAACAATATTATGATAAAATATGCTAAAATATGTTTATATTAGATTATATTTACAATATTAAATACTAATCCAGTTCTATAAGTTCAGGTTTCTTACCACCATTAGTTACAGGATTACCGGGATGGCGGACTTGATTTTTTTGGACTATTTGTCGTACTGTAGTTGTTGTAGTCATGGTGGTTACTTGCTATAAAATAAATTAAATATAATAAAATATATATTTGCATAATAAACTTACATATGAAAATATCATTAATTACTGTTTAAAAAAAATTCTTTAATAAGTGGTAAAGTGGCTAAGTATTCAATGGTAGTTTAGGTTTCTCAATTTGATACATTTTAAAAAAAAAATACAGAGGACAATAATTATCTAGATTTTAAATATAATGTTATCATAAATATATAGTCAATTAAAAGTTTTAAGTTATGCTAATATAATTTGAAATGATTTAAAAATTATAAAATATAATATTGTTTAAATTTATTATGAAAAAGGCACAATTTTTTTTCCAAGCATTTTAAGTTCAAATTTTGACAACATTTATAGTATTGAACTTTTATCAAATTATTTAACACATCTCTTACAGCAGTGTTTCACAACCTTTTCGGTATCAAATGTATTGTTTTTATGCGGAACCCCTATGAAAATTATCTTTAAAAAAGTATAAATGATAGATGATGTAGATAAAGTGCTTTTGCGGAACTCCTAAGTGAGATAGGCGTTCGCGGAACACAGTTAAAGAAACACTGCCTTACAGTGTCCCTCCTAGACACCTACTGTACAGCAGATCAGCACCCACTTTCCACTTTTTATACATAATATTAATGTAGGGGACAGAATAGTTTTTTGTTGATCGGCTGTGTATTCTCTCGTTGAAAAACTCTCGAGTATATTGGATTTATATTTTATACTGTATTTAAAAATTACAAAAAAACTTTTACGAAGCCTCATGAGCACTAACAAAATGTGTAGTATAGAGTATTTTATTAAATAAAATAAAAATAGTTTTTTAAACTTTGATTTGGTTCCTAAATATATAATTGGTTCAACAGAAAATGTTTTTAATTGGAAGTTTTTTATATGGAAATTTTCTATTATGAAATCTGACTATAAAATAAAATATGTAATATATTTAATAAAACATTTACTTCTTGTAATACTGATTGATTATTGAAAGTTCTTTGTTGTTGAACTGTATTTGAAATACGTTGAGTGAACTGTCTTGCAGTTTGCATACTCCTTTGAAAAGAAGTTGATTGCGTTCCCTGACAAGTCGTGGGTCTACTAATAAAATAATAAATAGTTATAATACTTATTCATAATACCTAATTCAAAACGTTTTGTTATGTTGAAATCATATTTATTTTATACAATTAATTGAGTACTAAACAATTAATCAATAATTATAACAAAAATTAGCTTACTGTCTATTATTATGTCTGAAATTAGGAATATTGCTTGTGCTTTTTTGTTTAGGAGGCTGCGTATTGTTCATAACCCAACGATTGACAAAATTATTGTTTGAATTCTGGTTCAAATTACTTGAATTTTGATGTAAAGGCTTTATAACAACATACAAATAATGTATTAGTTTTATGAGTAATTATTATGAATACAATATTGTTAATTAATCATTTTTCATTATTAAAATTATTTTTTAAACTTAAAGAAAAAAAAATATAATATATATTACAATATTAAACATACAAGTATGTATACATTTTATCTTTGTTAGAAAATAATTTAACTTACACAAGGGAGCATAGGATTAGAACCCTTCGATTCTTTATTCCAATTGTACTTCTTTTCAAAATTCACTGAAAACAAATTACAAAAATGTATTCAAAATCAAAAAAACCTTAAAAAGATGGCACTTTATGCTCCATTTTACAAGTCTATAACATGCTAAGTGAGCATCCTCATACATTAATACTGAGTAATTAACACTTACTAGCTTTTATAATAGTTTCTAGAGATTTTTTATTTTGAACTGGAACTATGGATGTTTCACAAGAAGTTATTTCAACATCTGAATCATCAAGTTCATTAATCTCAATTACATCTTTACTCGAATCTTTATCTTCATGTATTATTACTTCAGGCTCAGTGATAATTGGATCATCATCATCACTATAAATAGGTATAGTACTATGATTCATAGCATTTACTTCACTCTCTACTTCTCTAATTTTATATTCCTGTGGTTCTTTGGTAACTGTTTCATTAGTTTTATCTTCAACTCTAGTATTTTTAATATCTTCATCAATCACAAGGATTGTATCTGTATCATTATTATCAAGAGATCCTTTAGTGACTAAATTATTATTTCCTAAGGTTTAATCAGTGTTGTTAATACACTTGGTTACTTTTTCAGCAACCTCTTTGGTGTACGTTTTGTTTTTTTTACTTGTCGTCTCATCAACATCTTTTACAGTTATTTTATTGGAAGGCTTTTTGTCAACAAAACATGTTTCCCCATTTGACATAATAACATTAGAATTTTTTGAAATTTTGGCATCATCGTTTACTTCATCAATACTATTGCTATTATTTAGCATACCTTTAACATTGTCCACAATTGTTATTTGGCCAGGTACTTTTCCTGTAATAACAGTTGTATCTTCATTTTCCTCATTTTGTATTGTTTCTAAAGTAACACCACTTGGTGCTAAATCAAATGACTCCATGTAAATAGTTTTCTGACTCTTTTTTGGTGGTTTAGAATTTTCTGACCCTGACGATGATAATCTTTTCCGTTTAACTAATATGGGTTTTATGGGTTTCAACTCTTTATTAAATTTTTTATTATCGGAATAATCACTTTCTGAACTGTTTTCACACTCTGTATCATTAAGGTTAGACCCTTCTGTTTCCTCTGCATAATCTTGTTTATTTTTAAACTTTTGTGTCAACTAAAAAAAAATATACATATAATTAAAGCACCATATTTTAAACCACTGTAAATATAATCCATTATTTTGAACAGAACGCTACACCCACATGTGTATTGTTTCAGCATCACAAATGCAAAACATACCAAAAACTGTTTGTCGCGAGTAAGAACCAAATTTGTGCACTATAGAGGAGAACATTAACTGAGCGACATCGTTCTTATATTTTTTTGATATCAGAAATAAAAACAAGAAAACTAAGAACTTTTTTGTGTACGTGATATCAAAAAAAATAAAGCAATGTTGCACAGTCAATGTTCTCCTCTTTATAGTGGGAACATTTGGTTGCTTAGCTTGAACTGCAACTTGAGTGGTTGTTACTTGTAAAAAACTGTTTTCAACAGAGACAATACACATGCGGATATAGCGTTCTCTTAACTTCAAAAGTTAATATTGAGTCATTTAAAATTACCTATGAATGAAGAATAAAAAGTTAATGCTCATTGAAAGGAAATATTTGTGTCATATCATACGATTTTTATTACTAAAATAAGCTATTTTGTGATTTTTTAATTGAACACTTCAAACATAAGAGCACAGTTTTTATATAAAGGGGGTAATAGCCAATTTTTGTTGATTTTCATTAGACTTAAAAACTTGTATGATCTTGTTAACTGTTGTATTAGGTAAGGTATAAAAGAAAATTACATAAAAATATTAATTTAATCTGATAAAAACAGAATAATTAAACTACTTGTGCTCTTTTGCATGAATTATTTTTCTAACAGTATCGCATTTAAAAATTCTAAACCTCAAATCCTTGAGCGTCAATGTCAATGTGGTACCATTGATTGGGGGCAAAATTTCACACAAAATTAGATTATGAAAAAAAAATGTCAAAAGTTGACTTGTATGAATAAATAAATACACAAATACCACTAAGCTGTAGAATAAATTTTTTGCTGTTGTTACATTTACAGACAAATGACACTTTTTCCAAGGTTATTATAATTATTGTAACATTTTGACAGAAAGTCTAAAAGAAAAGTACATGGAGTGTTCTGTGAGGATATAACTTAATGGCTAATGCCCTAAATGTTTTTGACGTTTTACCTATAAATTTAAAAAATGATTAAAAGCCATAAAATGAATGAAAATAAAATATTGAAACATTTTCAGAAAAATAAATTCTACAAAATAGATATCTTCAATTGTTTCAAAAATAAAAAAATAATTTTTTAACTTTTTTACTGAAAAATTTAATTAAATTATAAAATAAAATATGTGAAGTATTGTAGTTTCTGTGAGTCTTATAAAAAAAAACAGATTTGTGATGTATTTATTATCTCAAGGTATACCAAAATGGGCAAATCCTAGCGGGAGACTCTCTATTGGACACATACTTCAATATAGACAATCTCAAGCAATTAGAGTTGGTGAATATTAGGCAAACTAAACATGAAATACCCATTAAAAGAATGCTTATTAAACTCAAATTATATTTAAATTCTATTTTTCTATTTCTAAGAACTTTTTTATACTACTCCCAGAATAAACCAACTCCCTAAACAAGCTCACCGCATTCAAATCTGAATGTAACTTTTTGTTACTTTCATCGAGTTTCTTTTTGAGTTCTCCATCTTCTTCAGCTGGATCCTTCATTGTATTTATATTTGCCAAACGACCAAAATATTCATTCAGTCTCCGAAGCTTTAATTGTTTCCCAAGCTTAAGAAAAGCATCATGAGCTAAAATAAATACAAAACATTATTTAAAATATCTGGAGCATTGTATTAAAATATTTTACTCACAAATATTTTTTAATTCAGTTTCAGTCCATTTTAGTTGTTTTTTTTCTCGTAAGCATTTTAATAATGTATATATTTCAAAATAATCTGGAAATGTTTTGTTAAGATTATAATATTTTTCAATGGTTTTATTAACCAATCTGTCATTTGTTTCTTTAAAACGCAGTACAGGTTCTTCTAAAAAGTCTGGCTCATCTTGTAGCTTACACATTCGTTTGTATATTTCAACAATCCTTTTTTCATATCTACAATTTCCAAAAGAAAAAAAATATATAGATAAAATGATTATTATTTTTTTTAATGCCAACCTTGGCAGTCAGCTCTACATTATGGGTTATGCCAAAACAGGACTCTAGGTTTATGTGATTAAATTTGAAACTATAACAATGCATTTTATTAGAAGATTAATTTATTATGATTTATGATTTTATTTTTTAATTACTATTTATGTCTTTTTTGAAATGTATAAAGGAGTATTATAAGATTGTATGTCATTAATATCTAAAAACATCCACTAGAGAAATTAATAAAACTAAGCCCCTAGCTTTGTTCAGAATCTGAAATTAGCAATAATAATATTAAAAATTTCAGCAGATATAATATTTCAAAAGGTTTTGAATAAAATGTAATCAAATCAAAAAACTTACTTATCCTTTAATACATATGCAGAGTCAGAATTAAATTCATCATCATTATTTATATCCATTTCTTTTTCATCAAGATTTTTAATTTTTTTTCTGATACTCTAAAAGCACATAATAATAATAATAATAATTTTAAAATCTATCATTCGTGAAGTTTGATTAAATTACAATAAAATAATAAATTACCTTCATTGCAGTTTTTAGTTTTTTGAGACGTTTTAATGACTTTTCATTAATTTCTTTACTCTCAACAGATGTTCTATTATCTTGAACCTATCACAAATATTAAAATATAAAAAGAGAACAAAAATATTTTTTTAAATTTAAAAAAATTTTAAATTCTAAGAAAAATGGTATAGGTTTAACGTTTTAACGTGAGCTTAACTCGCATAACTTATTTGTCTAATTGTATATTTTTGATATTCAAAACTGTAATGAACTAATCATTGTTACTAACAACTCTGTACCTGCAACGGTCACTTTTCACAATGTGGAATGCCACAATTGAACATTACTTCTTTAGATTTTTAAATATTTAAAAAAACTTAACGTTTTATTAAAATTGAGATACTTTTATCATCTTTAGCATCAGAATTCACACATTTATATGTAAATAAAGCATGAAAAAAAATTTAATTTGGTGAGTAAATCATTGTGTAAAGTGAGCAACTTTTACAAGTGTAAGATAAACAATTATATCAAGGCCCGCCTAATAACGGTATTCTAATTATTCTGATATCTCTTTAAATATACTTTTTTACATTGAATTTTGACCAAATCGTTTTTAATAATATACCTACTAATTTAATGTTTGATAATAATGTGAAATAAACATTTTTTTTTTTAGTTGTGTGCTCTTTTAAATTATAGTAATTTTAAATAAATACAAAATGTACTCGTTAATAATAAATCATAAATACTCTTAACATTTTTTAATTTAACCTAAATAAAAAAATATATTGTATATTAGGTACTGTAGTCTGTAACCATGACTTCATAATTTAAGAATATTTTCATAAAATGTAAAAAGTCTGTTAATAATAACAACACCCATTACTAAACTAGGATGAATAAATTTGAAAAATATAAATTAAAAGAAAACAATGACAAATATAATTTAAAAGAAAACAATGACAAATGCTTAATAGGCATTAATACCTTATTAAATATGATATATCAAGCATTAAAACTTAACAGAGTATTTATAAAAATAACAAATTGTATGAAAAAACAGAAAAACAATTACACCTGTTATAAACTAGAATCAAACCAAACAGGAGGTCGATCTGATTTGCTGAATAACTACTTTTTGTTATATAGCTTCAGAAACAAAAATGGACTTTTAAAATCATTATTCAGTACATTAAAGGAGGTTAACTTTAACCTCTATAATATGTTAGCCCTTTGTTAGCTATTGTTAAATATTACCTTCATTGAAGTTTTAAATTGCTGTAGTTGATCATATATATGTTCCATGTGTGTAAATAAACAGATACCACTATCAGGCCAGATCACTTGATTTGCTTCTTTTAACAACAAAATAAAATACTTAGAATCAAGAAATTCAGAAGGCAGAGATTTATACAAATTATCAATAACATCAATATTTGATTTTGAAAAATTTGTGTTTTCATAACATTTTTCAATTAACTGAAACATACAAAATGAACATACTACTTAGTAATATCAAAAATGAATAGTACTTGGGTAATTATTATACTAATAAAAATGCATGGTCAATGTATAATTATTGTATGCAATAGCACTGAAACTTTTACCAATGAATATGACATATCAAAAGCAAAAAATAGGTGATTAACTGAAGTTATTGAACTATTGAGTATGGGCTGAAGTAACTTGCACTTCATACATTGGAACTAGCAATATTTTTATTTCTATGGTTTAAACAAATAATATAATTTTGAAGTTGATAGTATATTATAATAAATAAGAATATAATGTTTGTAATTAGCAATGGTAAATGCCAAAAAACCATGTATCAGTATTATAGTATATATCAATAGTAATACACAACAATATTAACAAAAGTTTATCTAGTGATGTGTATTTGTATAACATTGTAATAAGGATACGTTCTTTATAGAAATATTTTATGCAAGTGTAAAATGTTATTTTTTAAAAATTGTTATTAATTACTAATTCATTACTCATTGGTAATTGGTTTTCATTTTTCCAATTTGTATTACTAAGATACAAAAGGGAAATTGTTGAGTAATGCAGTCAAAGTTTTGGATAATTTCAAATTTGCATATACTTTTTAATGAAAGCTTGAATATTTTACTGTATAAAATATGTATTATACGTTGCACTATATAGTATAATACCAAAATGAATTATTCTGTAGTTTACAATACATAGTATTAAATAAAGTTTACCTAATTTACATGCATAAATAAAAAAAAATTAATTCTCTTAAATCCATAATAATATGTGCCTTACTTCTTTGAATATTTTATCGCTTTCACTAATTTCATTGTCACTTCTATCATTCTCTAATTCAGTAGTTATAATTGCATTACCATTTGAAGTACTAGCAACACAATTTTTGGTCTAAAATGTATAAAAAAAATATCATGTTTTTAACAATTATATATAATACATTATCATGTATATATAATACACATTAGATAAGTAAGAAGCCACATTGCATGAAAAATGTACTAATTTAATGGAACAATTATGAGCCTGGCAACTGGTCATGAAACCTGGCATTCTATGTATTTAATAATAAGAAATGCATACAAAATTATCAAACATACCAACTCAATTTATGGTATAATTAGTAAGGTGAACTAGGAGGAAACATTTCATACATTTTTATCATTAATAATTTAATAATATTTAAATACAATCTAAGCGACAAAGAAGTTTCTTATATTAATATCTTTAATATTTGTTGCATGATACCAAATTACATAGAAAAACAATTTTAATTTATTCAGGAATATTGTGTTTATATTTAAGATATCACTAATATAAAATAAATTGTTCCTATTTGAAAAACATAAAAATAATGAATTTTATAACAATAATAATTGTTTTATAAGTGTTAGAGATGTCAAAAAGACAAAAAAAATTATATTTGTATGGTTTAATGTTCTCTTTTCTTAGATTTGGTTTCATAACTATAATTGATCAGAATGGTTCTTGTGAAAAATAGTTGTTAACAAACAATCTTTTCTATTTAGTAAATTTATTTAAGCAGCAATGTAGTTCAAAAATATGTTTCATAGATTATAGTACATACTACAGTTTATAGGTAACCTATAACCTATATACTGTATACCTGTAACTATATATTTTATTATATATTCTTAATTAATAAAACAATATGATAATATAGTATTAGATACTAACCTGCAAATTAATTGAGTCTTTTTGGGATAGTTGCAATAATTCATTATAAACATTGGCAGCATACTGAAAAGAATTTTTATTCTTAGGAGAAATGAACTCTATTCCTTTAAGTACTAAATTGCATAAAAGTTTTGAATTCTTTTGCTTATTATTGCATTTTTTGTACATTTTGTTCATATCTTCAACATATGACTGTGGAAACTGCTTATTGTTTCGACATAAATTTATCAACTACAAAACATATTGAGAAAAGCAATTTAGTGTTTTATTAAAAATTGTTGATAATTATAAGTTTATTTTGCTAAAATATAATATTTTACAGCTCAAAAAAAAAAAAAAAAATAGTAAGTAAATTAACATTTTGAAACTAAAACTGCAAAATAAAAAAAAAGCAATATAGTAGTATAGTACAATATAATAATACAGAAAACATTTAATTATATTGATTCACTTCTAAAAAGCTAAAAACTTGTGCTAAGAAGTGATAATTTAAATTATTTATTTATTTTTCATTGACATATTTAATACATACATCAGCATATACATTTATTTTCATAAATTTTTCAAAGGAGTTGGAGTTGTATTTTTTGTTTGAATTTAGTGTAACCTATGGGTATATTTCAGGGTGTTATTTGGAGAGGGGGGCAGGAATACATATTTGCGATTGTAGTCTACTGTGTAGATGTACTTTGATTTTGAAGTAGCTTTTGGCCAGAATCCTGGTCTAAATGAGAGGCTGCTAGGTCAATATTAACTGGCTCCAGAGCCATTACAGGCTGCAATACAACATACAATTTATTATGAATCAAAAATGACCTATCAGCAATCTACGATAAGAGTAAGACAATAATTGTACAAAGTATGTTAGTTATATTATAACTAGGATCCGAATTTACATACATTTGCATATTTTACCTGTTTTTTATTTTTATTTTTACTTAAAAGTTTTATATTTATTGGGCTGGTCATTATTAGGCTCTATCCTAACAAATATTGGAGTGAAGCACCTAACCCATATGTGAATATAAGTTAACAGAATCAGTAAAATTGAGTAGTACCCATAACTATTAACATTTCTAGAGAATTTGGTTTTATAATCTATAAAATCTATAATGGTCCAATAACTAACCAGACAATAATAATATTAAAAAATGTATCAGTATTCAAAATTAAAGTGTGTAATAATTTATTAAAATTAATTTTTGACATTATTATAAAATAGGGTTTGTAAGATATACAATACACATTTTCGGTAGTAGATATTAGAAAAATATGTTTTCAATTAAAAGTATGTGTATAATTCATATCTAATAAGTAATAACCACAGTTGATAATTATCAATATTTGTTAACTATTAGGCGTTGTTTTAAATTTCCACACCGATGCAACAGAGTATGATGTTAAAACAAAAATTAGAAATTGGTTAAGATTAGCTTTGACAAGAATTTCAAATAAAATAATTCGCCAGACTCTTAAACAAAAGAATAAGTAAACTGCAATTTAACCATAGCCATGATATTATTGTCATTATTTTTGAATTATTATTTTTTTTTTTTGCTGATATGACTACTGCTTAACTATGTAATATAGTAACAGGATACATTTAATGACAAATATTTATATTATCTAAACTACAATACAACCATAGCTAAATTATTGTAATATTTTTGGATTATTATTTTTATATTATTTTTTCTGAATGAACGTAATTATGATTTCAAATTAATATAATGTATAGAAATATATACTATTTGATAGGATGTTCAACAATCACATACATATAATATGGAGTATTTTTGGACACATGATTTTAAGTAGGATAACTATTTTATACTTACCAACTATGGTAGGTCTACTTAGAATGTTAATTAACAGGGCTCGGAAGTTAGAGCACTAAAAAAATTAATTTTCAGCGCTTAAACATACACATAAAAACATTAATATAAGCTCTATAAATAACACTAAAAATTGGAAAATACGCAAAATAAAATTTTCAACAAATTTTTTTTAATTTTACAGATTTTTAATTATAAGTAATAATAATATAATAATTTGTTTTCATTCACATATTCGTAGGCAGCTGTTTGGTAGGAAACTTAGTTTTTAAAAATATGCCCAAAAACAGCATTTATAACTCCAAATTACCAATATAGCTCCTAAAATATGAATTTATGTGAAAATATACCCAAAAATAGCACTAAAACCTTAAATTAGTATGAGAATGTTATCAACATCTATATTAATAAATTAAATCAAAATATTTACCTGTTGAAATAAATCCATGTTATAAGAAATCTGAAATAAAACAAAATTGTATGTTAAATAAAATATAGTATTTTGAAAACTTAAAATCGTTTCTTTTTTTGAGAGAACACAAAAAGCATAAATATTAAATATGTCAAGTTGCATAAACAATCGCTTAACATAAATCACAATCAATAGTAATCGAAATAGTAATGGTCTCTTAAATATAATTTAGTAGGACATGAAATAAATTTTATTGATATTTATTCATCAATTTTTCATACAACCCGACATAAGTCTTACAAATATACATTGTACAACATGGAAAAATTGTGTTCAGCAGAATCAACTTTTTTGTTAGCTATAATATTAGAGCAATTTACCGAGAAAATCAAACATAAATGTAAGAATACTAGGTATGGAATTGTATAGACTAAAAAAACAGAATAATTATTATTAATACTAATAGAATAATTTTATAGACTTTTTATTTTAAAGTAAATTATAACAACTATGTAAAATAAAATAAATTTTAAAATTTAAATATCAATAATTACTTATGCATTCTCTAGATCAGCGTTTCTCAACCTTTTATTTAAGACGAAAATATAATTTAGATCTTTAAAAATGATGACACACTACATTATCTAATAAGTTATCTACTCTACAAATATTAGTTTTTGAGTTACTAAAAAAAGAAGATCCATTTTTTCAAAATTTGTTTTATGTAAAAATTACCTTTTTTATTTTTCCAATACTTTTTATTACTACAAAGAATTTTCAATTTTGACCTCTCAAAAGTTATAATTTGAATGCTATATTCAATATTACTTATAATTAGTGGTGTATTGGAGCGTATACTCATAACAATATTTACAAAGAAATGCGTATACTTGAAAAAATATTTATTTTATAAGTATACGGTGGGTATACGGTGGATGGAGGTAAATGGAAAAGCGTGTATTATTTTATTATTTTTTTTTTGAAGATTTGAAATTGGTCTTTTAAATTCTATAGCGTAAAAATTAAAATAATATTTTCAACATATTTATGGATCTTATATTTAAAAAAATTGTTGGTTGATACTGATAATGAAGTAAGAATAATGATAAATGTTATATTTATGTACACTATTTTTCGAGAGGAGCGAAAAAATATTTTCTGGAATAGATATACAGAACAAGTGTCGAGCGTAGTGAAAAAAATTTTTTAAGATACATTTAAAAAAATATGGCATATACTGTATACACAAGACATTTTTTATCAATACATCCCTGCTTATAATAACAACTTTTTCGTTTATAAGCTGACGGTTTTTTTCTTGTAATTTTTTACCAATTACCAATAAATGATTGTGATGATCTAAAAATGTAGAAATATTTCTAAGTTCTTATATAGAAAAAGACCCCTTCCCATTCCCTTAATAAAAAATTCAGAACATTTACATTCAATACAGGTAAACCTTTAAACAATTACAAAATAATTTACAAACACCTAGATATGTCTTGTACAAAATTGCAAATTCTACATTGATTGCCACTATATCATGCTGCACAATAAGTTATGATTTTCTAGGTATTATACATACGTCTGGTTCACTGTCTTCCAATCCGGATGAGATTTCAATTTCTGACATTGTAGCACAGCCGAAAGCAACGTTATGTTCTACAATAACTGACAAGCAGATTTCGTATCAAATTGAAAACGGAGAGTAAAAGGGCTTATGATTATGTATATCATACATAAAAAAATCGATAAATCAGAATTGAATAGTAACGTATTTCTTTAAATGGTCCTCCGTAGCCCGTACAACTCGCGGATTCATCAATCCCGTTGCCCACTACACAAGTGCTCCTCACATCGGACGAATTTATACTGTTATAATTTGCAATTGCATAATATTTGCATTTAACGTTGTTATAAACTTCGAAACCCGAATAATGTTGAGTACCAACAAAGGTTGATCTCAGGCTTCGACGGCCACCAGTCACCACCTCAGGCCGACAAACTGTTGAGCAAAATGTACGATGGCAATAATCAGTAAATACTTAGCAGCATTGAATAATAATATAATATAATGCCATAATAATATGGAATATGGACTGAACGTTTAGCCTTTATCATAACGGCAAAAACAGAACTATGTAAGAGATAAAAAAAATGGAAAAAAGTTTATCTCAACATTTTTCTCCATGATACGGAATCTAATAATACCACAGAATAATTAATCAATATAATTCACGGAATAAGGTATACTGAAAACCTGGACTGGAACCGTCCTAACCAGGATATTGAGGAAGGGTCCTCAAATGTTTGGACATCGCCACTCCCCCCGTCATAATAGGCCGCCGAAAGGTACAACTAGGGGTAAGAGTCATAGATAATAAAGAAATATTATATCTATTATCTATGGTAAAAGTCAAGGTTTATAGATAATATATATATATTATATTTATATTATCTATAAACCTTGGGTAAAAGTCCCCTCATAGATAATAAAGAACATGACGATTATCCGCGGTCGAACATTAGACCGTGATAAAGAATAAAGATCTTTAGCGCGGCAATCATGCTCTCCTAGTCTTCTTTTTTTCAGTTAGTGACAAGCAATCGGAACGCCAACGTCACTCGGTTTAGGGGACGCCAGTGTTGCCGTTTAAGCGTTCCCGGAGTTCTACGACCCGCCCGCCATACGGGGCCACCGGTTCCTAAGCACAACCGGTTTTTTTTTCAAAGTTTTTAAAAGCCATCCACATATTGTTTTTTTTCCATTCGATTAATGTTGCTCTACTTTATTTTTTTTCGTTTTGTCCTTGGTAGCCTAACCCTCTATTTTTTAATATTAAATTAAACACATAAATAATAAACGGCACCCATGTGGAACAAAACTGTTCTTCGATGGTGTTACGAACGTCAGTATATTAGTAGCCCATATCGGTGGTTAAATATCTGAGTAAACACACAAATTCTGTAACTATAGAACTGTTCATGGACGGTTATTATTTATATTTAACAGTGCACACAAATTACTTTTTTAAGAATTAAATTAAATTAATAAGTAATTTCAATGCTGTTTAATTTAAATTAATTTAATCTAATCTAACATACAAAGTGATAATAAATAAAAGTCAGTATACTAAAGACCATGATAAAAGAATCTTTTATCATGCTAAAGACCAGTGGTGGACGCAGGGGGTTTTTTAGGAGTTCACACCCCCCCCCCCCCGAATTCTTTTCCTGCGTCCGCCCCTGCTAAAGACTAAACTGACCATTAATGTAATGAAATAATATTGAATTTTATAATTAATATACCCTACATTTATTGTATATTGCTAGTATATTTATGTACCTATATAGGCTATATAATAATTATTTAGCTACATACATGAATACATATTCAATAACTAAGTTTTAAATATCTTACTATGAATAATTCATAGTTTATATGATAAAAATATTAAACAAATGACTTCTGCAACTATATGTAATACAATATAGGTACATCGACGGTTTAGTCTATATTGATAACTAGCTGTCCCGTCACGGCGTTGCCCGTGTATTATATTTATATAGCTACATAAAAAACTCCCCTTTTACCACCTTAGAGATCTAATCTTGAAAAATCTTCAAAATGTTTGCATTGCACTTAGGACATAATGTAGCCATTGGTCCTATTAGAAGTGCTGTAATATTTAAATAATCAATCAATGATCGATAATTAAATGCTGATTTCAGACTCAAAGCGTTACATTGCTGGGTGCGCGGCTGTGCACGTTTTAGATTTAGAACGTTCTGGTGTGTTATCTTGTTGCCTTCTGTTATAGTTATACATTGGACTCGTTGGAGTAGCATTGGCAGTCTTTCGACATGACGCCTAAAGTATCGATTGCAGATTTAGGAAGTTCGTTATCGGGTACCGATTTCCATTTTTCCACCCACACCTTCAATTCTGATTCAAAAGTTTCATAAGTCAGTAAAAAGCTTTTGTAAAAATCAATGCATTTTTTAAACTCATAGCTACTTGGTTTTAATTTAATTAAAAAACTTGGAATCAAATTTTGCAGCCCAGAAATAATGTAATTGTGTTTTATAAATCTTTCAATTAATTGACTTTTGAAGTAGTCTAAAAATGGCAAAAAAATTGATCTCCTATAATACTGTTCTGGCGAATCTGCCGGAATATTGTAATACGATAGGTAGATTGCCTAATTAATCGTCGCATTTTAACCGTTTCATCTACTAAGCTCAATACATTTTTGATATCTAAAAATAATTTGTGGAATTCTTCCTCACTATTTTCATGAATTGAATTAATAACTGGCACACAGTTATTGACATATTGACAACACTCAGATAAATCTACACTTATTTGTTGTAAAGATTTACGTGATTAAGATGACTAGAGGGAAATGTACAAATGTTTAAAATAAACTTTAGTTGTACAATTATACATTTATATATAAAGACTGTGGTTAGTTTTTGTTACCTATATTATAAATATTATATACCTACTTTAAAAATTTCGGGGGGGAGGTTGAATCCCTAACCCCTCTCCCCAGTATAAGAGCCTGCTTCTAAACTAAAAGAGTAAAATTAATATATTTAGATATCGTGTATACAGTATTTAAGTAGTCAAATAAAAATTAACTGTAATTTGTTATTTGTTTGATAAAATGCGGTTTTCGTTTATTTTAATGTTTTTAATTCCTTATAATTGTACGATATTTATATATTACAATTATTTACGATATCTTTATGATAAAGATGAAATATCATGCTACCTATAATCATTTTTAAATTTTAAGTTCAAACGTCGGACTATAAGTAATTACTTATTATATTATTAGATAAAATTATGTAACAGCCATAATAATCGCATTTAACATTAATATTGTCATTTGGCATTTGGTTATTACCAAAATTTTTTATGAATTTTTAACTTAAAATAATTTCCAAATTTTCGACGTTTTTACGTATTTTGTCAATATTTGAACTTTAAATGCTTATAAAAAAAAACTGTGACAAAGGATTTTTAATTTTTTTCCTCTGCCTTTGAAACAATATACTAGGAGCCTTGTATTAAATTTTCAAGCTTTTTCGCCCAACAAATAAAATTTTATTGGTATTTATAGAAAAAAAAACTAAGAAAATTTAAAATTGACAAAGTCCGTAAACATCCCAAAAAGAGTCAAATTATTTTCAAAATTTTATCGTGTTTAGAAAATGCTAATATCAACATTCAGTGAAAATTTCATATATCTACGGTCATTTGTTTTAGAGTTACAACAAAAACCAAAATCGATTTTGTTAAAAATCTACCTAGTCCTTTCTAGTTATTGTATGTTTTGGGCCATTATGTAATAGTACTTAAAATATATTAAACTATAACATAACATTTTAATGATAATATTATGTGCGCTCAATCGTCGTCGTATTAACTATAAAATATTCGAAAAAACGTGTGTCTATATTATACAGTTAAATCGTAAGGAGCTAGTAAAAAGGTTATATTATATAATATAAATATAAAAAGACCACCCCAACATATAAATCAGGTGGAATCAGCAGATGAGGACAAATTGAAATACTACCCGAAATGCTCATTAAAATAATACTGTTAAAATAATAATAATAATAATGATGGAAAAAAAACTCGAAATCCTGATGCTGCTGGCTGTGAACGATGGACGTATACTATAGCTGGCTTGTAATAAACGTCGCCCGGGAGATTTTCAATTTTATCGGTCTCAGTGTTTGAAGGTATTTGAAATTTAGTTATTATTACCAATTCTGAGTTCAATTAGACCGCACGTATATCTACGCAAGAATCAAATATGGCCATCAATCAAAATAAAGACGAAATAAATGCAATACTATTGGAGATCCTAGAAGGAATAGTAACACACATTATAAACGGCGGTTATGACGATTGTAAAGAAGAAGAAGACGAAAATCTCATAACATCTGTAGAAAATCTTCTGTCTGCCGTGGATGGTAATGCATCGTCTAGCGGCGAAGCGCAGTCCCTCGAGTTACAGGAACCGGAAGTAGGTTCTACTTCCGTTACCGAGGACGCACCGCTAGACAACAACGCAGTTCAGAAGGACTACGAAGAGAACGTCATAAGCGCCGTGGCCAGCGATACATCGACGAGTGGCGACGCGCCATCCCCGAAGTTGGAGCTTGACGATACCACTTCAACTTTCGTGGATGGGCCGCTCGCCGACGAGGCGAAGGAAGACGTATTGGGTGACGAACATCAGCAGCCGGTCGAGGGAATGCAAGTGCTAAACAGTTTTGGAGAACTGGTCGGTTGGTTGGACCCGGCAAAAACACCCGGAAAATGCGTTCCACCCCGTCGGAACAGACTTTCGACTGGGTGGAAACGCGTCAAGCGCATTTTCCGCGCTCTGTGTTGCTGCCGAAGTGAAGACGTCCGCAGTTCCCAGAGTTAAGCCCCCTCGGGCCCGAAGACGCCGGACAGGATGACGGCGACGCTTAGGAGGGGGAGGATACGAGACAGTGCACGCAGGTGCAAGGCGGTATGTCACCCGCGCACGTTCTCCGACCACCCGTGGCGCGATGGGTTAGCGGGCGTAGTGCGCTCCGGGCGTGATGACACGCGAGACCCTCTGGCGGCTCGGCGGGCGCTCGGCCGCAGTACGGTCGTGTGGACTGATGGAAGACGACGATGACGCGGCGACTAGTAGGCACCGGCGTGGGCAACGATTCCGCCCCGACCGGTACCAACGATGACGACGGCGATGGCAACTCCTTAAGACGGTAGCGGCGGAGACTTTGGCCCGGGGTGAGCGATAGAGATATGTGCTAGGGACGAGGACGTCAGCGGCGCTGGACTCGAGGAAACTTCGCGGTTTCAGGGTCCGGCGGCGCGCGACTCCAAGGCGGCGATGATTGGTCGCCGCCGATTCCGCGGCACTAAATCTCGTTTCACCAGCTCCGTGCCTGTTATTTATGGTCTCCGCCGTGTGCAGTCTGCAGAGTCGTCACCGTCAACCGTCAACGCGCACAACATCGCGCACTAGCCGCCGCTCGTCGCAGTCAACCGTCGCTCCCACGGCCGTCTCGGTCTGGCCTCGCCGGCCGGGCAAGGTCGTCACGCGTCCGGGCGAACGCGCCCTCGACACTCGCCAACCCGCGGGACCGGTCGTCAGAATGTTGCAGAGGTGACCAGTAGCCAGTATTGTGCATATACCGCACCAATTCGCCATCTCGTATCCTCCCCCCCCTTGTTTATTGTGTCTCCTGTCCGGAGTATTTTTTTTTTCATTTAATTATACCTTTATCTTGTGTTTTTTCGCTTCAT